TAAAGATGGCCGAGCCAAAACACAGGTAATTCAATGAAGCATGGATCCTACAGGGGGCGGCCTCGCTGCTCCGTGTCCTCCGCATTGATTTAATGATCCAGAGTTAAGGGTTGTCCCTGACTGACGCTGCCATCAGCTGAATGGTTCATGTCACCTGTACGTTTGGCGCCAAGCTAAGAAATGGAACAGTGCCCACATCTGTAACGCTGAGTGATGCTGCTGAATGAACTTACACACCACCGCAACAAACATGACGGATTTAAAAAAAACAAACAAACAATACATACAATTTATACTTTCAGCATATGTGCAGACGTTAGCAACCAAAAAATAAAAATAAAATAAGAGTTAGCATGACTCTAGATGTCACTCCTAAACTCCTGTGATGTTTTTTCTGATTTAAAAACTTGAACTGTACGAACTGCAGATTCATACATATATGAAAGTAAATGAATACACAGTACACATATATATACATACATATATATATACAGTACGTACCTGTGATCTGTGGGAGCCCATATCCCTCTGTAGTAATTTACTCCTTATTACCACTGGGATTGTGCTGCACTTCCACACCTGTTCCAGTTCCTTCCGAAGCCTCGTCTTCTCGCGCTCCTTCTGTCTTATGAGCCGCGCGACCGTCAGCTGGGATTTCCACGTCGACGTACTGTTTCACTGACGCGACCTCCTCTGCTCCTTTCCAACCACCACTGTAACTGCTCGCTCCTCCAGCAGCTGCTCACCGGTCCCCGAGGAGCGGCTGCGGTGCTCTCACACACACTGGTGTCTCCCACTGGGACCAGGCAACTTTTAATCTGACTGCATTTATTCTCAGCCACACTGTTGTGTTGTGTGTTGAACAACATTCAACAACATACAGTACAGTATGTGTGAATCAGAACGAGCTGAGTGTTTCAACAGTACAACATGACAGTCATGCATGTTTTTAATCTATATCTGTAACGATTAAAGCTGCCTATTTATTAATCCCTTATCCATCTATCCATCCATCATCCATCCATCCATCCATCCATCCATCCATCCATCCATCCATCCATCCATCCATCCATCAACTTGAGTAAGAGCCAAAGAATGTTGGAACTTGAATCTGTCTGCTCCTGATCACAGAAAAGCTACAACGAGGACGGAGGCGGGGAGAGAGGAGAGAGGAGAGAGGGGGGGTGGAGGAGGGGGGAGGATGGGGTTGGGGGGGGGAGTCAGGGCTTGGC